TCTTGATATTCAAAAAAACAATGACAGAAACGGAAATTCGGTAGTAAAGTTTTACCAACACGTCTCCAAATTCGTGGATGAAAATTAAGTTGATATTTTTCATCAACATCCAAAGTTTTATTGATTTCGTTTTCGAGTGTACGTTGAGAATCTTTAATCATTTCTGAAAATCTGCTTTGGTACGACGAGCATTAACAACTTTTGGATTAATCCAATGTTGTGCAAATTCGTTTTCTCAAGCTCGTCGCTTCTCTGAAGTGGCTAATCTTATTATTGCATCATTTGGTTCTTAGAAATAGAATGTAAAATTGTATGTAATACAAACGTCAATGTTCATCGTCACAATCAAGCAAGCATGTCAATATTTGCCAATCATTCTCAATATGACTTTGACAATGAACTAAAGGTTCTTGAATTATTTCGTTATGCTGCTCTGGGTTGCTAAACAAATCATGGCGATCTGCATCAGAAGCAGCGGCAATAAGTATATGCACGAAAAGATGCAATACATAATAGAAAACTGGTGTTAAATCACGAAGACGATAATCGATATGCTTTCTGCTTCCGATAGATTAATAAACATAGCCTAATTTGGTTACTATTTCAACGCTTCCATTAATTGCTTGAGCATCAAGACACGTGTTACTTGAATTAGCTCTATGATTTGTGTCTACGTGAGATGTCAATATATATGTATCCTTACAAGCCCTCAAAGTTTGTAAATATGCGGCCAATGGAGGACTTGATGCAGGAATGCAAGAATGAAGTGCAATAGTATGGATGACTGATCTAATCAGTAGCTCTGTCTGACTCGTTTCCGGAGAGATACTATAAAGCTGATTTGTATTCTCAAGAAAAACTAACAATTTATCTTTATAAAATTGGTCAAATAGCATAATTGGTAATCGTTATTGTTCGTTCTCGTCTCATATAGACGGGTGATCAAAACTTCGATTACAGACATTTTTGCACTTATTGTCAAATTATTCGAAACTTTATTCAAAAATTGTTCGAATTGTTGATGTTGACCACATTTATACAGTGAAATGTCTTTTGTTGTATTTTACAAAAATATTTAATTCCATGCAATGAGAATTCTTTGACATATAAATCACGGAGAAAATATAGTTGAGTGAACGAATAAGATGAGACTGCGTTCTATAGCTAGATTAATATCATTAATAATTTCATCAATATTTTCTATTTTATCAATAAACATTAAATGCTCTGTTTCGTGTTTTGAACGAACTCCAAAG